TATTGATGATCTTCTGGACTTTTGCAGAATCTGTTGTGATTTTTACTCTTTTCATTTCTTTCTGTATTGAAGGCAAGGTCCATAGGCTATGCAGAGTCTCACTACATAGATTGGACTTGCAGTAATTTTCTTATTTACAGCCTCCCAAGTGCTGGGATTACAGGTGTGCACCACCACACGCAGTCTCAGTCACCATCTCAGTGCACCTTGGGGACCAGGCCAGCATGGCACATTGCGGGGGATCGAACCCTGGCTGCTGTGTACCCTTTTCATTTCTAATTGCATTGATTTGAGTCTTTTCTTGACAAGGTTAACTAAGAGTTTGCCAGTTTCATTTACTTTTTCAATGAACCAATTCTTCATTTATTCTTTGTATTTTTTTCTCAATTGCATTAATTTCTCCTCTGATCTTTATAATTTTTTTCCCTCATACAAGGTTTGAGCTCAACTTGGTATTCTTTTTCTAGAAGATTAAGGTTCAACATTAGGTTGTTTATTTGAGATTTGTCTATTTTTATGAAATGAGTATTTGCTTCTACAAATTTCCCTCATGAGGCTGCTTTTATTGTGCCCTAGGTTTTCTGGTATGTCAGCATTATCATTTAAATGTAGGAACTGTCTTATTTCCTCTTTAATTTTATCTATTTCACATTGGTTGTTCAGAAGGATGTTATTTAATTTCCATGTGTTTATGGCGGTTTCCTTGCAGGATGGTCAGATAGTATGCATGGGACAATTTCAGTTCCCTTGCATTTCTATAAGCATGTTCCATGTGCTAGTATGTGGTCTATTTTAGAGAATAGCCCACATTAACTTAAGAAAAATGTACATTCTGCACTTGTTGTATGGAACACTTTATGAAGATCTACCAATTCCATTTGTTCAAAAATTTGGTTCTGTTCTGGTATTTCTTTGCAGATTTTTGTGTAGTTGATCTATTTGATTTCTGAACTTTTCCAGTGTACTCATTCTTTTGGGGTTCACAGAGTTGTGGTCTCTCTTGTTTCCTTCTAGAATGAGCCTCAGAACATTTTTTCCTTCTGTATTTAGGAAGGGGTCTACAGGGTCTCACCACGTAGATTGGACTCATGGTGATCTTCCTGTTTTCAGCCTCCCAAGTGCTGGTATTTCAGGTGTGCGTCACCATGCCCAGTCTCAATCACGATCTCAGTGCACCCTGGGGGCAGGGCTGGCACGGCACTCCAGGGATCGAACACTGGCTGCTGTGCTCTGCCTAAGCAGGTGCTTTGGTCTGTGAGCTATCAGACTAACCCTGTTACCTCTCAGAACATTTTAAGTGCTGGTTTGCTGGTTATGAATTTCTTCGGATATTCTTTATCATGAAAGTATCTTATATCTCCATCAATTCTGAAAAATTATTCTGTAGGTTATATCAATCTGGATTGGAGCTTGTTTTCTTTTAAATCTTGAAATACTTTACTCAAAGCTCTTCTTGACTGAAGGGTTTGAGTTGAAAAGTCAGCTGTCAGATTCTGATAGGCTTTCTTTTATAGGTGATTCATTTATTTTCTCTACTAGATTTTGATAATTTATTCTTGTGTTAAATTTCTGGAATCTTGACTGTTATAGACCTTGGTGTAGATTTTTTTGAACATGGCTAATTGGAATTCTATGTGGCTCACTTACCTGTATGTCAAATTCATTTTCTTAGCTTGGGAAGTTTTCTGCCATTACTTCTGTTGACAACCTCTATGTCATTTGAAAAGGTATTTCTTACCTTTTCATTGGCTCTAATCAGTCTTATGTTATTTCTCTTTGGAGCTGTTAGATTGATTTTTCATGGTTCCTTGCTATTTTTAAGAAATCTTTCTTTCTATAGTCATTAACAACAAACCTGTCTCCTAGATCTGATATTCTGTCCTCACACTGGTGCATTATGCTGTAAATACATTGAAAAGAAGTTTTAATATTCTGTATATCTGGTTGAATCCCTTTCATAGATTCCATTTCTTTCCTATGCTGGGTGTTCATGGTTTCTATCATTTTCCTAAGATCCTTTTTATTATGTCTTTCATGATGATCACCATTTCTGTAGTTATCTGAAGAATTATTTCTGATTTTATATTTTTCAAGAACCTCATGAATTCGCTTTGCTACGTCTGCTGTTACCACTTCAGAGAGTCCAGGTGGGTGACTTTCAAATTGTTCCACCTCATTGTCCCCGAGGTTTGCTAGCTGAAAGTCTGGTGTTGTATCTTGCTTCCATGTCATGTCATTTTCTATTTTTGAAGTTTAATTTCTGTGTTGATGCTTATATATTGCTCATGGTAGGTAGTTTTATTGCTAGTATCAAGAATCCTTAGGCAATAACTACTCAGGGTTGTCTTCTAGGTGTAGCTGGCTTTGTGGTTTTGAGTCTGTTGCAAGATCCTACCTTTCAATTTATTGGAGATGAGAAGTTGTTGCTTATTTAGTCTAGCCCCTCGTTCTTTGTCACTGGCCTATGGTACTGTTTAAGACCCTCAAATACTATCAGTCTTGCCATCCAAGGAGAGCAACTGATTGGAACAATTATATCACCTTGACTAAAGTAGTACACTAGTAATAACAATAACATCAAACACAGCCTAGAAAATGACAAACCATGGAAACTATTAGTTTTCTACCTTTAAATATATGAACAAGATTTGAAGTTACATGATAAAATATTTTTTAAAAACCCAGAAATTGTATGTAGTAAATATCTTCTCAATATGGAGAATTTACTCTCAAAGAAGAAAATTTAAATGAGTTTAGGAGAAAAATAGAGACATGGAAGAAGCAGTGAATAGAAGCAGGCTGTAGGACAAAGGAATATTACAGTCTTCAAAATTGGTGAAGAAAACAGGTGAGAAAAGAAGAAGGAAGAACTAGAAACAAGGACAGGACAAAATAACAAAGGCAAAACTCTAGAAACAAGGTCCACATTTATAAAAACAAGAATAAACCATCAAGGAAAAAAAGTGAAAGGAAGAAAGAAAGGGGGAAAAGTTCACTTTCGGGTGTGTCTCTGCTGTTACTGGTGAGCGGGCAGAGCCTGGATCCGTGTTGATTGATCTCAGTAGTCAGCCATAGGATTATGGTGGCATGGTAGCTAATTTAGTTCCTCTGATACTCAGGCTGCTTCTGGTTTCTAGCGGTGAGGCTTGGACCCAAAATGTTTGGCTCGAAACATTCCAAGTACCTGCTGCCAGCTGGAACTTCAAGGCATGTCACCTTGACCCTGGCATCTTTAGATGGAGCCAACCCACAGCTGCTCCGTTCTTAGTTCTGTTGTCCCCTTTCCAAAATGGGGACTGGCTATTGCCCTTTCCCATAGGATGTGTGACCCAGAAGAGGACAGGAGCCGCTGTCTGCAGTCTGCAGGATCCATGCTTCCATTTCTCTGTGGAGGCTTCTGAGGTAGTCAGGGGCCACCGCACATCTGTGGCCACTGTACATCTGTGGGTTCTTTCATGCTGTGATTTGGACTTCAGAGAGAAAATGTTGCTTGCCACTTCCCTCTCTTGCCCTGAGGTCCCTCTGTTCATTCTTCTGTGAGTTCCATTTCTTGGTTCAGATCCTTGCTGGGTCCTAGGGATCTGTTTCCTCCGTCCTCTTTTCCTCACTTTGTTGTACACCAACCCCTGCCTCTTTTGACAAGGCCTACTTCCTACAACACTTTCAGTTATAAACTCATCTGTGGCTTCATCCACTGATGAGCACAGTGTCCCCATGACCCAGTCATTTTCCAGAAGCCCCCCTCTGAGTCCATGAGACTCGGGGGGACATCATATCCAAATCACAACAGATGGGCATTACAAACCACCTGGTATGGCCAAGGGTTGTGTTTTGCAGTGTAATTATTGATGTCAGTAGAGTGCATGCTGATAAACTCAGGAAGACAGTAACAAGACTGTAGTGTTACTATGAAGATTCTAATTTGCTGTAGTTTCCCTGTGATTTCCGTCATAGACAAAATGATTGAAAGGTGAGGAACTTGAAGTAGGGCCTCTCACATCTGCTGCTGGGTCTGTTTCCTTATCTTTAAAATGAGAGGGCTGAATTTGAAATTCCCGTGTGAGATGACCTTCTCTGAGTCTGTGGAAAGTGTCCATACTGCGTTCTGCTGTCTTGTGGATAGTTAGGATTATTAGCCGGCCAATATACCATGGGAGAGAGGGATTCCATGACACATTTGGGAATTGAATTCTTTTTTCTCCCCAAAGCATCAGTGTGGTATTTAAGCTTGACACTGGATAAGCAAGACCATTTTAAAAAAGAGAACCCATGTTCCCTGAGAAAAGCAGACAGCGACCACCATGATGTCTTGGTCCTGCCGGTGCTTAGTAGAGCCTCCTGATGGATGGAGTCACGTATATGGTTCAGTTTACTTGATAAATTCTACTCTGGTGGAATGAAAAATGCCTTCCTGGTTTTTTCCCCAGCTGTGTGTAAGATTCCACATATATTTTTTTTTTTTTGTGTGTGTGTGTGTGCCTGCTACAAGTGGCTGAAGATAAGACATAAGAGGAGCTAGTTTAGAGAGTTGTCTTCAGCTAAGTATGACTTTTAATCTTTGATAGTCATATGCCTTTAGACATTTTCATTTTCATCTTGAAAACTGGAAAAAATGGGTTTTGGTAAAATATAAAAAGGCTATTGAAATGTCATAGATGATTACATAACGGTGGATTATATAATGCTGAGGGTAGGGGCAGGAGAAGGAATGTTATTCAGAAGTTTCTAGTAATTTGAAGACATTAAAAAACAACATTAGTGTTCCAAGGCATTATTGTGTTTGCTGCTGGCTGTTGGCAGAGTTATTTTGAGGACCCTTACCTAGCCTTGCCAGGGTGGGGAGTACATCTGGGCGTGGGGCCGGTTTCTGGCTCAGAGCAGCTCACCTCTGTTCCAGTCTTGTGCTGAGTCTTTGTCCCTGGATGTGTGCTCTTGATTGGCTACTCTCTCACCCACCCCTAAGTGGCCTTGACGCCTGCCACCATTAATGGGGCCAACTCTGACAATTTATTTTTCCGGCTTTGTGCTTGGGTTTCTCTAGCTTCAGAGCTTTGATTGAAGGGATATAATATGTCAGAACACCAGGTAATTTGATTTACTGCTAATTTTTTTGGTAAGATGATAGTTCTTGCATCAAATTGCAGCTTATTATAAAATGTTTTATATAAGCTTGATAAGTGTTAGGATATCTGTAAAAATTGAGACAGGGGCTCATAGACTGTGGCTTACTAGCTGAATGTTGTAAATCATGAAAGTGTGGTACAGCAGGAGGTGCTTTGGACACGAGGTGGGGAGATTTCGGTCCTGTTTATGATCTTTGGAGCAAGGTGCGGCCTCTTTAGACATTAGTTTCTCTTCAGGACAAGCTAACCCTTGAAGGTCATTCTGAATCACTGAAACATTTTGCCAAACCATTGAGGATATATGTTTTCGTTCCCATGTCTTACCATCGTCTCTTTAAACTGTGTGTCAAATTTGAATTTGTAAGAAATGAAAACAGACAATGAGGGATGCAGTTTATCAGATGGCCCAACTCAATTTGGATCAAGTGTTTTGTTAACGAAATAGATCACTAAGATAATAATATGCTTGGGCGAAGGGTGCTGGCTGTAGACAGAGGGATCGCTTTTCAGCGCTGCCATTCTTAGAAGGGAAAGCTGATCTTCACAGCAGAACTAGGATGCGCAGCGCCCTGGAAGCCAGTGTACACCCTGCCCCGAGGCTCAGGAGGAAGCCCGGGCTGGAGACCGGCCAAATGCACACATACTTCCTCTTAGTTAAGCAAAATACAACACGTTTGGGAAAGTCACGGAACTTAACTGTTGTCCTTTTCAAAAGAAGGGAATGCCGTACTGGATTAAGGGCAAAAAGACTCTTTTAGGAAGTACTCTGCTCTGTTTTGGTAGGGAGAACCCACTTCTGAGGTGCAGTTGTCCTAAAATGTCGTTTGTGCTGTGACCCAACCCTTGTGAGGGACTCTGTCCTGTTGCAGGCGGGCCGCCTGTTGGAGCATTCCCAGTCAAGACTTGGTGTCATACTGGAGTAAGAGTATGACACCAAGGGCTACCAGCTGTTACCTACACAAAGCAGAGTGAACAGATAAACTGGTAAACTAGGATTTGGGAAGCTTCTTGAGTTTTGCCTGCAACCGGAAAGGGAAGTCGCACAAGGGCTGGGGCGTTGGAATGGGTCGGTTGGGTGAGGCCCTCTGCTTCCGCGTCAGAGCTGCCTTCGGACCTTCCTTGCCCTTCCAACCTGCTTGCATGTGCCAGTGGTGTGGGCAGGACACTGAATCACAGAAGGAAAGCAACCTCTGGCCACACAGACAGTTCTGTAGGAGGGCCTGACACGAGACCTGGACATTTCATGCAGTCTACATGTGTTGGTATGTTTGTGCAACATGATAGATTTGATAAGAAGAATAAAGCTAATTTCAATGACTGCAGCATCTTTAACATAGACAGTGAGCCTTCGCTTCGCTCTTAGCTCTTGTTGCGAGTGAAGCTACCGCAGGGAGACAGGATGTGGACACACTGCTGGTTATCCAATGAGGCAGCAATTTCTCCTCCCGCTTCATAGGAAGGAAAAGACTCAGCAATAGATTTTTACCTCCCACCTCGATTCATTAGATTTTATGGGAAATTTAACATGGTATGTCCTTTGTGTCAAATCACTGAATGGGGGCATTTCACTGTGAGGAAATCCTATATGCTAAAAGGATTTGGCAGTTCCTAGGGTAAAAGTTGCAGGAGCGGAACTTTCATTACTTTACAAAAGGTTCTTTCAGTAAGCCAACTCTAGTGCTTTAAAAAGAACATGTTAAGTGAGGAACATAAGCCTGTTTCCTGAAGTAATAACTTCGGGTAGATGACACAAACACAGCCCGTCCCTGGTGCCCCGCGGGACCCGGGAAAGAGCAGCTAGTTCATAATTAGGGCGCTGTGTACCCTGCAGCTTTGGCCGCCCGCGAGACAAAGTGTGCTTCAGAGCTCAGGACGGGTTTTTCCCTTTCCTTTTGCTTGCTCACTTCTGTGGCTCCAGACAAGAGGCTCTTTGGATCACGCCTTTTTATTTTTGAGAAAAGCATTTGCAATCTTTTATTTTTTTGTTGACCTTAGCTTTTGGCAGGAAAGAAGGGGCCATGAACAGTGCACTAACAGAGACCAAATTAGCGAAAAGCTTTTCAGTGTGAGTCGAGTATGCAGAGGTGATGTTTGGGAACTGACCTGACAAACAGCAGCCCCGTCTTGGGGGTCCCTGGAGGGGACACAAGGACGGCTCCTGCGGCCTGAGCGGTCGTCTGCGCGGTGGCGAGCCCAGGGCGGCAGGAGAGCGCAGCGCGGCCGCGCGGGCGGCAGGCCTGGTGCGCGCCGGGACCGACCCGGCCGTGCGGTTTTTTATTTTAAACAATGATACCTGCGAGTGTTTGTCCAGGACAACACCGAAGTCGTGGAGGGCGTACGTGCGCGCTTGGCTGCGGCAGGGACCGCGCCGCGCAGCCCAGAGCCGCCTTCAGCCACTCGTGCTCGGCCGGGCTGTGTCCGCACGCGGCTGCCGGGTCTCGAGCGCAGCCCCTCCGTCCGAGCTCCTCTGCCCTCCGCGACCTGGAGGATTCCTGAAAATGTCAGAACCTTCTATTTTGAACACACAGGTCGGTTAAAAGCCACAGTGGAAGCGTCTCTTGCTCCAAAGAAGAAATAAAAGGTGACGTGGCTAGAGAAGTTCAACACTTTCTAAATACAGGACGCTTCTATTTTTGACTTCTGCGTTCAGCGTGCGTGCACACGCGGGCACGTGTGAACACAGAGCTCTCTGCCGTCTTGCTTCCTCCCCAAAGGGACTGAAGAGTGAATAAAGATACTTTGTTTTTATGGCAAATTTTCTGACTTTTGTTTGTCAGAAACAAAGAAGCGCAGCTCTTCTCCTGTCTTCTTTCCTCTTTCTTCTACTTCTTTTTTCAGTCGGAATTTTGTTACGTAATGTTCAGTTGGGCTCATGCAGTTCACTTCCTTCCAGTAGGATTTTCCAGTAAGGATTCTGACTGTTGCTCACGGGAAGTCACCTGATGGGTGACGCGTACCCACACAACGCCACAGACTTCTGCACCCCGGGGCATCTTGTTAGCCTAACACATCTCTTCTGCACATACCTCCACTCTCTTTTTATATTCATATTAAACAAGCAGAGGTACCAGTTTGTTTAGGGCGCATGAACTGAGTAAGTGGTATGTTATTGTCATTCTACCAAAATGAATTATAGCTGTTGCTTAGAATAGAAAAGGAGCAAAAGAGCTATTTTTGAGATGACAGTGACACAGAGATATTCTTAAAAGTCACAGAGAGAAGGCAAGCATGGGTGTACGGGTTGCTTAGGGGGTCAGGATTCAAGGGAGAGGATCTTTACAAGAAAAGTAGATGCTGGAGGCTTTTGAACAATAGATTCAGAGGGGCATATGGGTGTGTGTGTGTGAGAGAGAGGGTGAGAGAGAGAGAGAGAGAGAGAGAGAGAGAGAGAGAGAGAGAGGAGGAGGGAACAGGAGGGAGAGAGAGGGAGAGGGAGGGAGGGGAAGGAAGAAAGGGGGAGGGAGAGAAAGAGACAGACTGCATCCTACCCACCCCTGACCCCCAACTCCCCCGGGGACCTGAGGCAGTTCTTGCACAGAATAAGCACCAGTACTTTTCATATAACTTTTTTTTTTCTAGAAAGATTCCCCCCCCCCGCAACACATTAAGATAGCAAATGTCTCAATAGTTTCTAAACACCTTTAAGCATCAATGGACCACAAAATTCATTTATGTCTGTGTTTTCTCATCCTTATTATTCACATCCCTTTTACCTCTCTGAACGTTTCAGTGTGCATAATAAGCTGTCCTGTCACGTTAATGGAGATCAGCCTTGGGAAGTGGATCTTCTACTGAATTAAGTGTCATAGCATAGGACACTATCTTTACTGTTAAATATTTTTGTAATCTAAAACAGGAAATTTGTGAAATAGTGTCCAGTGTAGGGGAAGGGAAAAGAAAATCTGTCTTGTGTTAAGAAAAAGTACCGGGAGAGCGGTTGGCTTCAGTGGCATAGGCCTAAGAGATTTCATCTTTTCCTTCACTCTGGTGGAGGAAGGACGAGCGACTGGGCTTTACCCGGCCTGTGTACAGAAATCACTACATGAGCACTCAGGCACTATCTCCTGCTAACTTCCACATGAGGCTGTCAGAAGTGCCGGCCTGCCTCAGGATATTAGCAAAGATGCTCGGAAAGCTTTCGGATTAAGCCTAGAGCCCACCACCATTAAAAGGAGCGGGGAAGGCCATTCTCTTTCAGGGCTGCTGTGGTGACGACAGACCTGCACGCCAATGCCAGCGCTGCCACCTACCCAGCACTGGCTCTCCTCTCCTCACAGCTCAGCTGCTTCAGAGTCCCCGGAGAAGGCCTCTCGCGGTGCAGCAGTGAGGGAGGGCCCGCAGCTCCCAGGGGCGTTCGCATTTGCCTCCGTCTAGGTTCCTTGCTAGCTCAGTGTCCCCTAGTGGTAACTTGTCTCAGTGAACAAGCTGGCCGCAGGAGACAGTCTGTGACACCTGGGTCTCTTCCGTCAGTTCTCACCAATGCCTGCAGATTCCGGGGGCCCAGCTGTGTGCCAGGGGAGGGGCGCATGCTGCGCGGGTGAGGAGGCCCAGGCTCAGGGGCCCGCGGTGGCGCTGCTGGAGCTCGGTGTGTGGTGCGCACCTGAGCCGGGCGCGACACTGGAATTCTTGGGTTTGTTCTGATTCTCCTTTTCTTTTCACAATATCGTTCTGCAGTCCCCCCATTGCAGACAGTGTCCAGACACAAATAAGCACAGGGGCGACAGGCTGAGGAGCGTTTGGGGGCTGGGTCTCTTCTGGCCACCTTGGACTCTCCCGGGTCTCTTCTTGACTTCCTGACTCTGAGTGCCGGAGAAAGAAGACAGAGTGGAACCAAACCTGGCTCCGACCTGTGTTCTTCTGGCTTTCAGGCCCTGGGCCACCACTGGAGCACTGAGCCCGTGACTCTGAGGGGTGCCTGTGTGCACCGGGCCCTAGGGATATGGTGGTGGCAAGGCAGCACTATCCCTGGTCCAGTTTCTTACTCTTGCTGATGTCCAGCTTTGCATATGTGAAGTAGCGGTGGGTGCTTGCCGGAGGCAAACCCGTGGGGGTTTACCTAGTGCATGTCTGTGAAAAGAAGACCCAGCTGCTGAGAGCAAATCGGTGACACTGGTGGTCTGTTGGCATGTGGATATTTGAGATGACACTTTGGAGGATTAAGTCTAAAAGACGGAATAAATTCATTTGGATTAAAGCACCTGCTTAGGCTGACGCAGGGACCGGGATTCAATCCCTGGTATGTCACGCTTGCCCTGTCCGGTAGGGTAAACTGAGAGAGTGATTGAGACTGGGCATGGTGGCACACACCTGTAATCCAGTGCTTGGGAGGCTGAAAACCAGAGGATCACTAGAGTCTAGTCTGGGTAGTGAGACCCTGTACACTCTGTACTAAATAGATTAAAAGATAGAATAGTAACTTTTTCCTGTAAGAAGTATTCTGCTATAGAGACGACATCATCATATTTACTTAGAACTTTTGCTGTATCAGAAACATATTGTTACTTAGGAAACATTCTCTTTAAAAAAATACATAAAGCTTGAGAATAGAATCTTAGGAAATGAAAGGGTCATTGAGTGGTAGAGCTCAAGAAGAAGTTCGCGATTTTCTGGTCTGTCCCCCTCATCTTTCAGTTTGGAGCACAAGTGGGAGAGCTGTTAGTGATTCATTCATTCAGCAAATGCTTTCTGCCTCCCTGTCACGTGTGGCGCAGGCAGTGTGCTGAGCTGTACGCTGGGATTACTGTAGTGGGGGAAACAGCCATGGTCATTATTTCTGTGGCTTAGGTTCCAAGGAAAGGGTCATAATTAAGACACATTAAATACATGTCCAGGGGGCTGGGGAGATAGCTCAGCGGCATAAGCACCTGCCTGGCAAGTGCAAGGTCCTGAGTTCGATCCCTGGTACTGTAAATAAATAAATAAATAAATACACATACAGGAGGTGAGGTGGTAAGTATTAAGAAAACCTGATAAAACAAGGTATGCTAATGGATGATGGTGGCGAATGCTCTAAGGTGGGATGTTCACCAAAGATAATACTTGAGCAAGTTCTAAGTGAGGTCAGGAAGGCACTGCGGGGACACCTAGGGCAAACTCGTTCCAGAAAGACAGAGTTGCAAGTGCAAAGGACTTGCGCTGGACTCCCACTTACAAGTCAGGGTGACCCCACTGTAGCTGGCAGGCATGTGGCCTGTAATATAATCAAAGTAGCAAGGGGAGGGACACGTTGGAAATACTGGAAAATTGTACAAAACTCTATGTATTTTTAATGCTGCCAAGTTTGATACTTCCAATCAGAGTTTGATAAACAAAGTAACACAAACTGTGTTCAGACTTGTTCTTTTCTGTAGCTCCCTGAGGGAGAGAGCTAAAAAAAAAAAAAAAGTCAGCATTTAGATCTTCTAACATGTTAAGGGGAACTTCAGGATGGAAAAAATGAAGAAAAATAAAACAATATGCTTCATAGTGAGAAACCATGTTGCTTTTACCTTGAGTTTAAGGCGTGGAGAGAGGAGCTGCTCTCGGCAACTGTTCTGTTCTCAGCCTACGGGCTGCCTCCTGCGTGGTACCGCTGAGCCTGTGTTTGTTTTTAGCTGGGAGTTATCAATTTACACTAAGCTCCATCATGATATTTAAATAAGTAGCTGTTTAAGCAACTCTGAAAGGTGTCAGAGTTGGAAGGATTCTGCATTTGGGAAGAAAGGAGTTTGATATAATTCCTTAAATTGAAATTGTTACTTTTTTATTTCTTATTTGGTTCGGCCAGTATTTTCTTTCGCTTAAGATGGCAAGGTTCGTTGGGTTGTGCTGAGTGTAGGATTCCACAGCTGTAACCGGAGCAGGGTCTGAGACGTTCTCTAATGACAGTAAGAATAGCTGTTGTGGACCGAGGCTCTTCGGGGGCCACGCCTGTTGCCTAGCTACTGCCAGTCATTAAACAGGCCTGCAAGATGCTCACTGCATCCCCACCTTGCAGAAAACTGAGGCTCAGAGAGATTAGTTACTGGCCCGCATCTGCGCCCTCAGCACAGAGCAGAGCCCTACTGTCACGACTGCCCATCCAGCTTTCCAGCTGCCTAGCCTCCTGCCCACATGATGTCATGGCTGCAGTCCATGGGAAGCTAGTGAGTTAGGGTGACTGAATGTCATTAAGCTATCACACAGGCCCTCCTGTTGTGCTGCCTTTAAATACTGTGGTAGAGTAAAGGAATCAGGGTTTGAGAGATTTTGCAGGTCATTTAGTCTGAACTCCCCATTGATTCTTGCAAAAGCTGAGCGAGAGGCTTGCTTCCCCAGCCGTGGGAGCGCAGCTCTAGCCCCGGGGCACCCAGGCAAGGCTGCCATGGTTGGGGCTGTCTGGGAAACTGCAGACTCCTCCTTGTGCTGTGTCAACACCAGTCCTTCTTTCAGCTTTTGAAGTCATGTAGAACAGAGCTGGCCAGGTGCTGGAAGGCAGGGGTCACTCTCCCGCTGAGACCCCTGTGGTAGAACGCTTTTCTTACCTGTTTTGTTCTCTTGTGTTATCATCTGAGGTCAGGTTTCCATCCTGGTTAGTTTCTTTCGAACGTGGAAGGACTCAAGATAGTTTTCTTCTTCGGTGAAGCCATGTGTCTGCCCACGTAGGAGATCATGTTGCTGTGGACTCTCGGCGAGGCATCCACTGACTCAGGCCCGCTGTTCCTTCTACCCACGTGACTGCCGTGAAGCGTCTTCCTCACCTGCAATGGGACAGTTTAGTTCTCTGTCTTAGCATTTAACTGCATTGTTTCTTTTCTTAAGATACTGAAAAAGACGCAGTTCATTGCTCGAGGTTTTCAAAATATTTTTAATTCTATCTTCGAGGCAATCCAACACCACTTACAAGAAAGTCACTTTGTTTATGACAAAGTTTTATTTCTTTTGCATGAAGCTGTTTGTGTCCACGTTATGGATGATGTTTTGTAGCACAGACAAAATGAACTGTCCTACTAACCTGTTTTGAAACTGTCTCATTGCTACTTCTTTCTCAATAAAATTAATATAAAAATATTATGAAAACTGTTAGACTAGCTTCACAGAGAATAGACTGCAGACAGATCATTCGTGTGTCTTTTCACTCTGTCTGGGGTTTCCTTTGCGATGCAGAACCTTTTAGTGGGATAGAATCTTATTTGCTGCTCCCTGCTGTTATTTGTGTGCGGTTACCATGGCATTCATAGAGTTCCTGCCTTGCTTGTGTCTTTTAAGAATTTCACATATTTTATCTTCCAGCAGATTGCTTTATTTTCTTCACATCTTGATCTTCGATCCATTTGATTTTCGTTTACTAGATGGTGAGACATGTGGATCTAGATTCAGTCTTCTTTCCCAGCCCCACTTGCTAAAGGGCTGTCTTTCCTCCAGAGTAGTTTGTCTCTTTGGTCCAATATCAGGTAACTGAGTGTGCATGTGGTTGTACCTACATCCTCAGTTCTGCTCCATCGATCCTCGTAGCTGTTTTTGTGTATCTTGGTTTTAGCGTTGTGGCTTTGTCATATAATTCAAATTCTGGGATTGTGAGAGTTCCTTCTCTGCTCTTGTTACCCAGGATTGCATTTGCTGTGCAGGACCCCTTCCGGTTCCAAATGAATTTCAGGGTTGTTTTCTGTAAGGAATATTGTTGGCCTTTTGGTTGGGATTGCGTTCAGTCTGGGTGTCAGTTTTGGAAGCATGGACATTTTGACAATACGTATTCTCCCTAGCCTACAATAGGGGAAATCTTTCCATTTTCTGATGGCCGCTTCAGTCTCTTTTTTTGGAGTACTATAGTTTGCATAGTACAGATCCTTTACTTCCTTGTTTGGTTAATTTCTACATAATTTTTCTTGGTACTTTTGAAGATGGTATTTTTATAATTTTTTTCTCAGTGAGCTCATTATAGGCACACAGGAACCCTACTGATCTGTGCTGATGTTGTATCCTGTTACATTGCTGGTTATTAATTCCATGAATCCTTTGGTGGAAGTTTTTGGATCTTCTTTAGAAAGGTCCATGTCATCTGCAAATAATGATAATTTAACTTCTTCCTTTCCTATATATCAATGTCCCTTTTATATCTTTCCATGGTCTGGGTAATGTTTTGAATACTGTGTTAAACAAGAATGGTGACAGTGGACACCATTGTCTTATTCTGGATTTTAAAGGGAAAACGTGCAGCTTTTTATTTCATTTAAAGTGATATTGGTAGTAGGGTTATCATAAAGGTTTTTACGGATTGGGATAATGTCTTTCTTCAGGGTTGTTATCTCAAATGGATGTCACATTTTGACAAAGACCTTTCTGCAGCTGTTGAGATAATCAGATGACTTTTGTGTTTACTTTTGTTTATGAGATGCATTACACACATTTATTTGAGTATGTCAAGTCACTGTTGTATCCCCGAGCTAAGGTCTACTTCGTCATGATGTTTGTTCTTTATGATGATTCATTGCATTCTGTTTGCTACAATCCTGATGAAGATTTTTGCATCTTGTTTATTAAAGAAATTGATCTTGTATTGTTTTATATATTTTTTAATTTATATATTTGGTACAGGGCCTCACTATGCAGCTCAGACTCATAATAATCCTCCTGTTTCAGCCTCCCCAGTGCTGGGATTACATGCGTGTACCACCACGCTCGGTTTTGGTGGCCGGCTCAGTGTGCCCTGGGGCAGGGCTGGTGCAATATGCAGTATGGGGGATCCTACCAGGGTCCTTGTGCCTGCCAGCCGGGTGCTTAGACTGCTGAGCTATCTCCCAAGCCTGATCTGGAAATGTTTGATGGGGATCATTGTCGGGTTTTGAAGTCAGTATAATGTTACCTTGAGGAATGACTTTGGGAGAACTCCTTACCTTTTGATTTGATTGAAGGGTTTGAAGAGTACTGGCATTAAATCTTCTCTGAAATTCTTATAGAGCTCGCCAGTGACTGCACCGGGTTCTGTTTTTTGGTCGGGAGTTTTTAAAATTTATTTTACTGCTGCTTCAATTTTATTTCCTGTTATGGGCTCTTTCACAATTTTCATATCTTCTTGGTTCATTTCTGATCATTCATACATATCTGAAAATCTATCCATTCTTTTGAATTCTCCAATTTGTTAAAGATTTTCATAGGAGTTACTAATACTCTGAATTTCAGTGATATCTGTTGTGATTTCACTTTTTGATTTCCAATTACATTGATTTGGGTGTTTGCATGCTTTTTTTCTGTGAGACTGGCTAAGTATTTTTCTGTTTTGTTTACTCTTTTGAAGAATCAGCTCTTCCATTCATTGATTCTTGCATTGTTTTTCAGTCTCAATTTTCCTACCTTCTGTATAATTTCCTTTCTGTGCTGGCTTTGCATTTGGACTATTCTTGTAATACACCATGAGGTGCAAAATCAGGTTATTCGTTGGAGATTGCCTTTATTTCTGATGTGAGCATTCACACATGCAAATTCCTTCTTAGGACTGCTTTCACTGCATTCCCTAGGTTCTTGTATTTTGCATTATTGTTTGATTCCAGGAATTAATTCTTGATTTCTCCCATGATCCACTGATTATCCAGGTGTATTATTTAATTTTCATGTGCTAGCATAATTACTGGGGTTTCTTTTACCACTGATTTCTAGTTGTGTTGCAACATGATTTGGTAATGTGCATGGGATAATTTTGTCACTTCTGTGTTCACTGAAGCATGATTATTGGCTGGTATGTGCTTCATTCTGGAGAAGTCCCATGTGCTATTGAGAAGAATGTGCATTCTAGTGTTGGGCACAACACTGTGTAGATATTAAGTCCATTTGTTCAAATATGCGATTCCATTCACGCATTTCATTTGATTATTTTGTTGGTCTATTTGTGATAGTTTTGGGATTCCCCCACTATGACTGTGTTAATGTTTATCCAATCTTTTATGTCTAGTAGTGTTTGTTTTATGAAGTTGGGTATGTTGGTGTTTGGTGTGTATGTCTTTTAATTGTTATTCTGTCCTGTAGAATTGTTACGTTAGCCAATATATAGTGACCTTCTTTGTCTCTTCTAATCAGTTTTGGCTTGAAGTCTACTTTTCCTGAATACAGGATAGCTACTCCTGCTTTTTCTTGGCAGGTCTTCCCATTGCATGAAATATTGTTTTCCATCCTTCGATTCTTAGCTTCTCCAAAGAAAAGTACCAGCAACAAAGCTCTGCACCAGGCAGCCCCAAAGCTGATGCCCCAAGCTGAAGGATCTGTGCTGGAAGTCAGGAGATGACACCCATGGCAAGGTTGAAGACCGGAGCTCCCCTGAAGAGAACAGCCAAAGTTTCTCCAGGAAAATCAGCTTCAGTGAAGCTCTTCCAAGGAAAATCAGAATGTGTCCTCCGTTTGTACACTCCAGCAAGCCTACTTAAGTGGGTCTTCCGGAGCCATGCTGACTCAACTCAGCTGGGCATTTCCACTCACGGTGACAATCAAACAACCACCATGGTGTGTGATGCTGCACTGGTCTGATGATTGCATTCATGTGGTTCTGCCTGTGGGTGATTGGCTTACCACATCAGGAAGACTTGTAGCTCGCATGGAATAAAAGAAAGAAGGCTCTCTGCTCTCTGCCCCCATCTCCCTTAGCCATGGCACCTTGCTTGGGCTGAAGCTCTACAAACTGTGAACTAAAACCAACCTGTCCTCCTTTTACTTGTGGAAGTCCATTATTGTGTCTTGGCTATAAGAAAGCAACTAAGACAATATATGTCACTTATCTTTAGGTTAAGTTGTTGTACCATATTTGGGAAGTTTTCAGCTATTTCAGCAAACAGGTTTTTATGCCATCTGTGCTGTCTTCTGTTTATTTTATTTTATTTTTTAAACTAATTCCAATTAGGCAAAATTTAGGAGCAGTTGGGTCGTTTGTCTTGCTCTCTGGCTTCTGTACTGCCTCTTGTTATGTGGTCCCCAACAGGCCTGGTTCTGAGACTTGGTCTTCACATTGGTCACTTCTGTTGCCCACACGGTCTAGGAAAGTTAATCTCCGGAATTTCTATTTGGAGCCCTTTTGTGGTCCCTGGTCCCCTTCTAGGTGGGTCATGTGTGTGGCGCACCCTTTTGTTGGTCTCTTCTATCTTTTTACTGGTGTCTTTTAACACTTGGTCATGATTTTGCTTACTTGACTGAATATGTTGTTATGTCGTTTGTGATCTTGTCAGTTGGCTTATGAACCATTTTGTTAGCTCCCTGATTCCACTTCAGACCGTTCAGGTGTGAGGGGCTTGGCTTCCTTCCCATGGGTGCCCCGCAGATCAGCATCAGGAGACAACCAGGAGCATTTGGAGGACTTTTGTTGGCTTGCTGTCTCATGTTTGTATTTCTATTGAGGCTTGTGGGCTTATTGTAGTGGGAATTTTGTCTGAAATCCTCTGTAGATGAAGTCTGGTTTCAGTGGCATTCTCGGCGTGGCAGCCTCTGGCCTTTTGTCTCGGCCCCAGGTTCTAGTCACCTTCATTCTCTTGAGATGAATGGTTGCTGGGTGTCTGGCCCAGGTCTCCCGGGATGGGCCACAGCCCTGTAATGACCCCTAGGTGACCGAAATATTGGATTAAAAAAGACCAATTAATAACAACGCCTTGGGACCTTGGCTGTGGTAATAAAATCAGCATCACTTATGCGAGCAAGAGAATGAAGAGTGAAAGTAAAATTTGAAAAATTAATTGATGTGCTAGGAGGAGGAGAAAAAGTAAGATGGGTGATTCTATCGATGAATAAGAAGAAGTTAGTGGTGATAGAGAGGGGTCACATGAAGAGTGAACAAGAAAAAGAAAAAAAAAAGAACAGTAAAATCAGGAGATGATGGAGGAGAAAAATATTGGAAGGGAGAAAGTTAAAGGGAAAAAAATAGAAACTAAAAGAAGAGAAAGAATGAAGGGGGAGAAAAGCCCCTAACCTGGAAAAAAACAGATGAAGAAAAAAAATTACAAATATGAAAAATTTCAAAACCTTTGAGAAAGACTTCCTGCTATTGCAAGGGCAATGTTTTGCCATGCTCTGTGATCCTGAGATGCAGCCAGGCATGCTTCTGTAGGCCGGGCCTCAGCGCCTCTGGGTCTGCGAGTTCCCTTCCTTGACCTCCAGGCCACTCTGTTCATGCCCTCTGGACTGCAGGAACTGTTCAAGACAATGCATGCCCTTCATTCCATTGGCAGACGGCACATGTGATCAGCCCTCTGTCTTCTGCAGGATGGACACCACAAGGCAGGGCTCCCTGGGCTGCTGGACTTAGTGTCCACGGTCATGGGTCTAGTTGCGCCCTTCTCTCCCCAGGTTGGTTAGTCTTTGCCTCTGCTGCCTTGTGTTGTGTTTCCCTGAGGGTGGGTTGCTGGTCCTACACACAGATCTCTCTCTGTCTCTCTCTGTCTTTCTCTCTCTCTCTCTCTCTGTCTCTCTCTCTCTCTCTCTCTGCCTCTCTGTCTCTGTCTCTCTCTGTGTCTTATCTCTCTCTCTGTCTCTCTCTGTCTCTCTCTCTGTCTCTCTCTCTCTCCTCACCTCCTAATGAGGTGTACCACTTCAGATTTACTCTCTCCTACTCCGCTTTTTTTTTTCATAATATTTTATTTTTTTTACTTACTTTTATTTTTTTAATTTTTTTTCAAAGTTTTATTGATAAACATATAGCAATGAGACAGCTTCAAATCAAATCAGAAGTACAGTTTCAACAAATAATACACTGCATATATTCTTCTTAGTGGTTAATTGCTGTACAAGATGCAGACTTGTGATCCTATTTACAAACACCATTAGAACAAATCATTCTATTCATTAAGAGAATGCAACTATATATCTATCCCAACCATTTTGAATACACAGATACAAAATGGACATTCATAGGTATACCCCATTTTTTCTAAGTTCCGTTATTGAATATTATAGGTGTGTAAACTCAGCAAAATATTCTAAAAGAGTCCAGTAGCCCATAATAGCATTGGGTCTTCTGTTTAACTGGCAATGTCAGAAATTATTGACCTGAGTCCCCCACAGCTCAACTTAACAGTATGGCTTTATTTCCTATATTTCGTCTCCATACTTTTCTACTGGATGGTTAAGACCAAGGTAAAGCAAGACTTATGCAATAAGAGTTGTAGCTTTTTGGTCTGAGAAGGTCAGTGAAATGCCCTCAGGATTTGTCCTGAGATCCTGTACCTCAGATTGTAGAACCTTTGTCAGTGCAGGCATGTGGATGAGTCACGGCCATTGCTTGGCCAATGTGCTCTCTGTGAAAGCCTGAGAGAGTGTCTTCTCCCCATGTGACTCTCCTTAGGCCCACTCTACATCATCGATCACTTTCCTCTTTGGCCCCATAGTCTTCTTGATCAGAAAATTTGGGACACTACCAAGGTACATGATGTTACAGTACAAGTTCTCATATGTCCTGAGTCTTAATTTACCTTAGAAGACTAGGGCCAAAATGTTGGCTTTCCTTGTAGCCCTCCTTTTTCTCTAATTTTGGTCTGCAAACTTAGGTTGTTAACCATCCAGAAGACAAGCTTATTGTTATTATCAAACGATTTAGGCTATTAAGCTTAACCTCACTATCTCACTGCATTTCAAACATCTTAGGCATAATAAGGAACAGGTATTTTTCATCAAGTATTGATATGTTGAACTTTAAGTCCCTACATAATATGATAAAACATTTAAAAATTCGATTATATTTTAAAAATAGGATAAAGAATTCTATGCTTCTCATGTTTGCACATAAGTCCAAAAATCTCACCATATACAACCTTGAAGCAGGACAGTCCCACAATATTCCTTTTCCCGTCTCTTGCTTTCATTCACCACCCCCTTCTTCTTGAACATCCACCTATCCTACTCCGCTTTTTAATGAGCAGCTTCTTTCCATGGTCTGCAGCGCTGGCATTCACCAGATATGGGGCAGGGAGAGTGAATCACTGCCAAGTCCTGTGTGTTCTACATTTGTTTTGGTGGGTGTACACTGAATCCTGTCCTCCTTTTTCTTCCTAGAACTGTAGTCCCTGCACTTGCGCCCAGTTTCTGTGTTCCTCTGTGTGTCTTGGGTCATAACTTTTTCAGCTTAACTTTACAATGTGTTGTTGGGGAGTTGCCCTCCCTGCTCCACGGGACTCTCTGACCATAAACCCCAGATCGTGGTAGCCGTCCAAGCTGAGGCGAATTTTCGATCATGTTGACAGATAGAAAAAGCGAACAGACCTTTGTGCTGGAGGTAGACAGCAGGTGGGGACAGGGCCAAGAGCCTACCAGACGTGATGCCGGCATTCTCATGCCTAGCACCCCCAAAAGCCACACATGAGTGATCTGGCTTCTCAACTCAAATAGTGGGATACTGTGACTTTCCTGGTTGTCTCGGTCACTTTTCTCTGGTTGCTAGGACAGAATATCCGATGCCCAAAATTAAGGGAGCAAAGGTTATTTAGCTCACAGTTTGTGGAGGTTTCAGTCCCTGCTCAGCTGGCTCCAAGGCAGAGGGCAGCTATGGAAAACAGCAAGAGCATCAAGAACAAAGAGGGAGGAGCAGCGGAGAGCAGGCTCTTTCCCGCCCTTATACGTAAGTAGGCTGCACGCCCCAGGGCAGGCGTAGTGTCACGCCATGATCCCAGCACTGGATGTGGGCCAATCACAGACTCGAGAAGCCCGCCCCGTGGCTGCCCTCATGAGGCTTTGGGGGGCCTCTAGACACAAGCCATAACCCTGGCTTGAGCACTGACTCCTCCAGGAGAAGCTGTATATCTAGCCCACGCCCTCCCTGTGACGCTTGTCACAGTCACTGTGGTAGGGTGACAGCGGAGACTCCGAAGTGCAGCAGTTTTGTGGCACAGCCTTAGACAACTAAGCTCTTCTCCAGGTGACTCAGGATTCAGCACTGTCACATGTGATGCATGCTGCACCGGACTTGGGCTCCCCTCTCGCCTGCTGTGTGGTTGTCTTCAGGATAAAATTCCATGTTAATTTGCAGTGCACAGCAGCTGTGGGGGCTCGAGCTGCCGGGCCAGGTGGCTGTTTCTCGCTGGCGCTTCCAGCCCTCTCCAGCTCACCCGCGCGGCAGCAGAACAGGCTCCTCCCTGGGAGGCGGGGTTCCTCCCGTGGATGCTTTGGTCTCCCTGCATTGTGCACCAGTTCTCTAAATTCTCTGTAGTTTTTAGTTTTCCTGTCAACTCTGTTCTGATTTTTCAAGATCTCCTCCTCCCCACCCCCCACCCCCAAAGCTCCTCACTGGCTTGTTATTTTCCAGGCCTCTCAATTCTAGGTCCCAGGGAGGCAGTATTTCCTGCTAATCTTTCTTTATTCCACCATGTTTGATTCCTGAGACCCAGCTCTTGGGCTGTTGGTATATCGTCTGTTTAGTCACTGGTTTTATGTTAACTGATTATGCACTTTGCTTTATTTTTTATTTTTATTTATTTATTTATTTATTTTTTTTTTATTTTTCAACAAATAATACACTGCATATGTTCTTCTTAGTGGTTAATTGCTGTACAAGATGCGGACTTGTGATCCTATTCACAAACACCATTAGAACAAATCATTCTATTCATTAACAGAATGTAACTATATATCTATCCTAACCACTTTGAATACA